TTTCAATTTCGTACGCTTGATATATGACATAGTGAAAAATTATATTGTCATAAAGTAAAAGATATAAGCAAATATGTTTTGTATATACAAGAGAATCTCTTCGTTTTTTGAGATTTGGTTTACAGTCAAAAGTTAATATAGGAATTCATTTAAGAGAAAGAAAGACAACTTGGGATATGATAACACCCCCAGAACATTACTGTAATGTAGTGAAAATGTTGTTATTGGCAATGCAAAACATGAATATAACTGTCTTTGTTGCTGCAGATAATAATAATGGTCGTAAAAAATTAGTAAATTTGCTTCGCGAAATGGATACTTATAATAACAATACTGTTAATATAGTTCATACTGATGATGATATGGATGCACTAAACCCTGTTAGTGGGAGAACTGGTAACACTGGCTCGGAAGTAGTTGCTCTTATAGATATGCAGTTGCTTAGTTTATGTGATGACTTGGTGATTACATATGGTTCATCATTCGGTTTTATCGCAGCAGGATGGTCGCCAAAAGCGTATCATCGAAGGGGTCCATTGGTCATAATGCCAATAACAAACTCGAGCGATGATTTTCAAGATGTAGATAAAGTTTGGGTGTACGGTGCTGTATCAAACGAGCCTTGTATGTTCCTAAGCAAGTGGGTAATTGCTAACGAAGATGAGGAAACCAGTAGTGCTTTTAAGTCCAATCCGTTATGGATGCATTATAGTCAATGTCATGCACCGACATTTTAGATAACAAGTCAAAACCTTTTATATTCATTATAAAAACGTACGATCATTAGAACGGACCCTATTTGGATCAATTCCAATTGATTTAAACGGAATTTTAATCAAAAAAATTTTATAACTTAGTATATAATGTAATATTACACATAACACTATATAAATACTTTTTAATTAAATTGATTTCACTTTTTGTACTACTGGTAGTGCAATTAAAAAATAGTTTAAAAATCTAAAAAAGCATATACCTAAAACATTTTTATATACAAAAATTTAATAAATGAATAAGTATAGTAGTATCCTACATGTGCTTTGCTACGTGAATAGATCTACATATTGGTGTAATATTAACAGGTGTTTAATAAGTAGACAAACACGTTTTTTAATAATATAGATTGATAAATTTTGTAAATTTAGTATACGTTACTGGTAGTATACTTTTAAAGCTAATCTAAAAAATAAATTTGTTAATAAATTTTGTAAATGAAAAAAAATTTATTATAATTAAAACTTATTATTAGTTATAATGCAACCATCACTGTTTCTCTTATAAGGCTTTTTTAATTTGTTGGAAATTATTACTATTCATAGTAAGCTACGCTATATAAGTTTAGCTCAAATTAAAAATTTTTTATTGATTAAATTTTTTTAAAAGTTATAAAAATTTAGTATAATGTACTACCGGTAGTATAGTGAAATCATGTCCATTAATTGAAATAAAAATAAAATTAGTAAAATTCGAATAGCTTATAGATTATTTTAAAGATTTACGTTTTTATGCCTACCTAAATTATTATAAGTAAAGAAGAATTAAAAGATAAATATATATTATAAATTTGACTAGCCTACTTCAACTAGATTAATAAATATTTTTTATACTTGCCGTGCTTCAGACGCATCCTGTCAAGATTAGGGTCAGAGTAAAAATTACGATATAATTTAGGCCAATTGATTGAGGATCATTTAATGCTGGTCATCTAATAGTCATTCGAGGTGCGTCAGCTGCAATCTCATAAATCTGAGGCACAACATACTCACACATTAAGGTAAAAATTAATCTTTGCTTAAATACTTAATAAATATTCTTTATATCCACTCTCTAAATTAACATGAACAAAGTCAATATAATATAATAAAATTAAATAATATCAGGAACGAAATGTTACATAAATAGTTCGATGGTTATAGTTATTATGGGTTTTTCTTGTCGCGGGTGAATTTGACGTATTACGATACTACAAGGGAAATGGGATAAAGCAATATTGGAAATCTTCATTTCTCGTTTTTTTATCGGTAGCTTCTGACAAACATTGCATGGACGTGAGTCCTCGCTACGCTTCGGACAATAGAGATCCTTATGTGCTCCTTCCTCGTACGTAGGAGTGCAACCAATCACTCTCGATGCTACCCTTTTATATAAACAACTTTTAGGATGTACATTTAAAATTGGGTATCATTAAAATATCTACTGACCTGCAAAAAATCACATGCTCATTTAACGTAATAAAAATTGTACCCCAAATCACATATCAAATTCTATTGAGAACCAATCTTAAAACCAATAAAGTTTTTTTAGTTAGAATAGAAATTAGTAAATGGTAATAGAAATCGAATGCATTATTTATTTTTTAAATCCTTAATTAAAAATTCAAGTTTACTTTCATAAGGCTCCAGCCCTATGAAACGCCGCCGTTTTATTACTAGTAAATAAGACTGCGAGATAAGGTGGCTCAAAAGTTCAGGTTGTACAGCATACATCCATTGTGTGAATTTGTGCTAGAGATTGTACCCGTCGAGAAAATTTCTACCCGGTTATTATTAAATTACCCGGTTATCCGGGTAATTTATTATACCATACAATAAAAATGTCTACCCGGGTACAACCTCTAATTTGTGCTCTTTACTCGGATCGCATTGAGTAAACTACACTACAATTTTGAAGTATCATTACTAAAGCCCAATTATTTTAACGTACAAGTCTGTACGCTAAAATATAAAGTTTAAGATAAAAAAAAATATAATAATAAATCTGCACACGTTTTTTTTCAGCTTAATAAATGAGAATGACACAGACACAATTACCATTATTAAATGTTAGTTGATTAATTCCCTTCATTGGTTACCTAGCAGTCGATAATTGGTTTCACTAATTTTGTTAATTGAGCACAACTCGATATTACTTAAACTGTTGAAAACAATTTAAATATAAAATAATATAAATTGTAATACTATACGTACGTACGTATGAAAATCGGTATTAAAGAACAAGAGCAAGAGAAATGATTGTCACAGGTCATAATGAAATCGGATTAAAATGAAATTTGGGGTTTCTTTTAACCTCCTTATACTTGTTTACGATAAATTCTACCCCTAAAGCTTACCCTAACCCTAAAAAAAGTCCACCCCAACATTTTGTATTTTTGAAGGCTTGTCTCTTTTATTTCGTTCTAATCTGATTTCATTTTAATCTGCCATAATAATTACCGTATTCTACCGTAAATAAGCACCATCCCTTCTACCCCATTAGTTTAAATGTCATATTAGCGGAATCGTAATAAGATCTTTACCGTATTGTCTCGAAATAACGTCCCGGGGTGTAGGTTAAAATTTTGGCCCGAATTAAGCTTAATTCGGCCTAAATGAAGCATAATTTGGGCCAAAATTTTAACCTACACCCCGGGACGTTATTTCGAGACAATACGGTAGTCAAGTTATTCTCACTAACATTTTAAAAGTGGATGAATATGGTAATAATAAGTTAAATCCTGTATATTCACAATTGTTTTTTCTTTAAATTAACTATATAAAAGAATAACGTTTCCGCAAACTTCAAGAAATAAATTCATGTTCCACGTCACCACAGGTAGAACAATAAACCTTTTTCACAAGTATTCTTTCAAAAATCTTTGGTGCGATATGCTACTTTTCCAAATATTTTCTTTATTATCCCGTATTTCGCATGTAATATAAAAGGTTGGAGCATATTTAGAAAGGTTGCACATCACATCAAAGAATACTCGTTGAAAGGATTTATTGTTTTACCTGTGCACATTTCTTGGTGGTTTTCGTGGTGCGGCAGCCTGAAATGCCACACCAGACTATATATAATCAATATTTGAATTTAACACATACGACTTTATGGGATTTTATGGTGTAATTATGTTATTTTGTTTTCCGCTTTCTTACTTACTCTTCGGACGCTAAACAGTATCACAAAAAGAAAGAGAAAAAAAATACTGATTCAGTTGTTGCAAATAAAATCGATCATTTAGAAAGTGATGTGGGCCTATCTTGTAAAAAAGTAAAAAAAAACTATAATTATAAAAAAAATATAAAAATGGGAGCTTATATAAAAAAAAATATATAAATTCTATTTTGACCCGGGTCAAAATTAAGGGACTAGCAATACCAGTTAAAAAAATTCGCACATTATGTGATCCTATTAAAAAAAATTTCGCTAAGAAAAAAATATTTCGCTATTAGGTTAGGGTTAGGGCA